GCACCGGCGATCTTCGGATGATCGTCGGCGACGAGCAGCCACGCGCAGAGGGGGGCATTACCTGTGAGTGTAAGGCCGGCAACTTTTAAGGAGTAGCCCCTTGTCGTGGTTAATGGCGACAGGCTGCCCAAAAGGCCTAGACGCCATCGGCCGAAGGCCGAGAAAAGTAGTATCGGGGTGATGAAGGAGCCGCCCTGGAGCAGCCTCGTGGCCTCCCCGGGGCGGAACTATGGTAGAAAGGCCCCAGAAGGGCAGCGCGCAGCCGAGGAGGAGGCGGCGGCCCATTTCCCCTCTGCGCGCGGCCGATGTTTGGGCACCACTGATCTTCGGATGATCGTCGGCGGCGAGCGAGGGGGGGAGGTGAGAAGGAGAAGACCTTTGCAGAAGGCGGCGGGACTTCTCAAGAAACCCTTCGCGCCCTGCGAGAAGTGTTTTTCTTGAGCCTGTTTTCTTAGGGTCCAGCGATCATCCGGGTTGTCGGGCTCGCCCCCCCCCCCCCCCCCAGATAACCTAACCCAGCCGGTTGTGCAGGTCCGGGGGGGGGCGCAGGGAGCTCACAGGGAGCGCTGTGTTCAACGGTATGGTGGTGTTCGCCATAGCATGCTGGCGTTTGGATGCACGTTGGCGAATCGTTGGGGCTGTGAGTGGCACGGGGCGACGACGACGACAACGACGGACGACGACGATGACGACTGACGACGACAGACGACGACAGACGACGATAAGCGACGACGAATGACGACGACGACGACGACGACGACGACGACGACGACGACGACGACGACGACGACGACGACGACGACGACGACGACGACGACGACGATCGACGTCGTCCATATGCATCTGGAGGTGCACGTGAGCAGCGCGTACACAGGCGTTGCGTTCTGCACAGGCAGCGAGGCGATTTGGTGCGCGCATTTGCTGTTGTTGCCGCAGGTTGTGTCGTGTACGCAGGCGCTGTGGTGCACGCAAGCATAGGTGCACGCAGGTCGCGCGGTGCACGCGGGCATCGTGATGCACCTGGCAATATACAAGCTTTGCGGTGTGCGCAGCTGTTCCTGCAACATCATTCATCATTCGCGCAGGCATCCCAGGCATGGTGGTGTTCAGGAACACTGTGGTGCACTGTCATTGTGGTGTGCCACACCTTGTGGTGTACACGGGCGCGGTGTGCACATCCGCTGCTGTGCACACATTCGCTATGGTGTACACAGGCGTTGTGGGCCCAAAAGACGGGACCGTTCCCTGCGCAAGAAAAAATACTAATTACAAATAGCTTACATATTGGATTTAATACGTTCGGATCCCCCGCGATTTTTTGGAGTTCGGTTTCGCCAGGGGCAGTTTGCTCGACGGCGCGGCGAAGTGCCAGGCGTCGTGCCCCCCGGCGCTGGTGACGGCGATCCACAGAGGCTTTGGGTCCAGCTCGAGGCTGACAAGCGCGAGAGTGGCATGGGTATCTCACTGAACAGCCTGGGCCAGGACTGCGCGGAGGCGCGCGAGACGAACCACCTGCCGCGGCGCGAGGACACCTGGGGCGAGGTGACGCGGGTGCGCTTTCCGCTTGCGAAGGTGGCTCGGTCAGGGCCGAGGAGGTGGAGTTCTTGAAGAACTCTCTGGTTTACAAGACGGTGGGCGCTAGCGAGTCGGAGGGCTGCCATGTACTGGGCGCGCGATGGGTCGACGTGAAGAAGGAGGGCAGGTCAACGTGCAGGTCGCTCGAGGATCTGCGTGACGGAGTTCAAGTGGAAAGTCCCATGGACGGAGGATTTCTGCTCGGGCATGTCGCCATGGCGTGGCAAGGTCCGAGATCGGAACGATCTCAGGCTGCAAAGTGAACGAGGTCCTGATCCTGGACATTTCCACGGTTCATATCCAGCCGCCGTTGAAGGGGGAATCTTCCTTGAGCTCCTGGCCGGGGGCGCCGAGGGACCGGGGGTCCGCCTTTTCCCGCGCATGATGCATTGCGCGCGCGACGCGGCCAGCGGGCCAGAGGAGTTTTACCAGAGCGAGCTGAAGGAGGGCAAGAATTTGCCAGGGGCATCCTGCCCTTGTGCGTTCAGCAGCCTCCAGGACTCAAACAGGGGCGGTCCATGGCGACGACTTCGTTTTCCAGGGCGAGGGATTTCAGCTCGACGGGCCCGGGGCAGACCAGAGGAAATGCATCCTTCTCCGCGTGAGTCCTTGCTTGGACCAGGCGCGACAGACGACGAACGCGTGGTGGTGTTGAGCTAGCTAATCTCATGCGCCGACGCGCCGGTTGACGGGGCCAGGAGACATGGAGATAAAGAGAGCGAGAGAGACAGAGTGCTTGTATATAAGATAAACGTTTATAGCAATGTACATATTATATATATATATATGTAGATGACTGTTTATATTTTTACATATATGACACATATATACATATCTACATATATCTGTAGATGTGTGCATATATATAACAGGGAGAGAGAGAACAAAGAGAGAGACAGAGAGAGAGAGAGAGAGAGAGAGAGCCATGGCCACATCATGCTGAGATTATCGTGCGCCAGCTTGGTTCATATGGGAAAGGATTGAAGGCGGTGGCGACGCCGTCGGAGATGGCGGCGATATACGACGCCGAGTTTGCGCTGCAGGGTGAGAAGGGCTGCACGATGTAAAAGTCCCTGTGCGTGCGCCTGAGCTTTCAGGCGGGAGGCGCCTCGCGCATGCGGTGCATGGGCAGCGTGGGTTGCAAGTGCATGGCGGTGCCATCCCTGCGAGGCTTGGCGACGCTGAAGCGGTTGGTGCGAATCATTGTCAGGCGATCCCAGTCGCGCGCGGCACTTCGAGGGGTCGAGGGGCAGAATCGCGATGGCAACGAGGTCGACGGCAATTGCAACTCTGCCTGTGCGGGCGACATGTCTGGTCGCAGGAGCACGGGTGCCGTATGGGTGTCCAACGGAAGTCGCCCATTGAGGAGTTCGGCGAGCTTGCAAGGGGTGGGTGCTCTGCTAAGTGGCGAGGCGGGTTTTGCTGCAGGGGTGAAAGCAGCCTCGGTGATCCTCGGGATCCGAGCCCTCGGTGCCGACTTCGGGCTGGTGCTGGGGACTGGCGACCACGCGGGCTCGACGTCGTCCGAAGGCGTTTCTGGGCGTCGAGGGGTCGGCAAGGTGCGCCATCTCCACGTTCCGCTGCCTGTGCCCAGCAGATGCGGGCCCCGCACGAACTGCGCATCCCGCAGGTTCCAGGCAGGGAGGGCCTCGCGGACCTCGGCGCGAAGGAGCTCGCGCGTCTGGTCATGGGGGGGGCACTTGACGGCGTGCGACTTCTACATCACCTGGGGGAGTCACCCCCAGGCGCTCGCGGCCCAGCTCGATTCCAAACGCGGGGAGGTCGGTGTCTTGAGCGGCTGCGGAGGAGACCGTGGCTGTATGGGCGTCGGAGGCTGGCGGAAAAGCGAACTGGAATCTCGCCCAGTGAGCGGCCCGGCTCGAGGAGGGCTGCGCAGCACAGCAAGGATATCCGTCCGTCCTTCAGCCATTGATGATCAAACTAATTTTTCGCTGGCGCGCTGACCTACCTTGATCGCTCATGTGCCTGCGCCCGCGGCTGTGCAATAAAAAGTGGCACGCGTGACTTCGCTCGCGGGCGAGGAGGCCGCGGCCCAGGGGGGCGGCGGCCAGGGAGGTCACGGACGAACCGCGAACGAAATTGTCCTGGCGAGGGACCGAATCATATTCAAGCGTGAGTGCAGCAAGGTAGGTCGGTCGAAGGGGAAGGGGGGGGATCTCTTCATGGGGTCACGAAGCGTGTGAGGCGTGTGCCGAAATGGGCTGGGGGACTGCGTGGGCACCCCCCTCCATTGGAACTTCGGCGGAGCTCCCGAAAGGGCCGCGAAACGTGAGAGGGGTGTGCCGACTTGGTCTGGGGGGCCGGTTGGACGGTGACCAAAATCGGCACCTACGTTTCGCGTTCAGTCCCAGTCATCGTCCTCGCTTTCTTTTCCTCCACATACTGCGCCACCTCGGCGGCCATCTTGGGGAACCTGGGGCCATGCTGGAGTTATCTTGGGCGCGAGTGGGGTCTCTGACCGCTCGGTCCCCCCCCCGCCGCCCAGACTCGCGAAATGGGGGTACGGGAGATAAGTCCAGCTCCCAAATTGGCGCTATATGCTGGTGCCAGGTGCACCAGGCGCGCCTGGCGTGCCAGATGCGCTACATGGGCCCGGCGCGGCACGTGCGCCAGGTGTCGATGCGCGCCGAGTGCGCCAGGTGCGCCAGCGCACGCGACAACACATCCAGAAGCATACCAAAACCCCGAGCATCCCTGACGAAAGCCAATTCAAAGTGGCGGTGGAGTGGCCAGCATCATGTGGAGTGTGCGCTCGCAATCACGTCGCAGTGCCTTTTTACATGGAGGTTGGGGCCGCACGCGCCAGACAATATGATTATCTCGCCGCCCCTGTCAAAAGCAAATGCAGCATGATCGCTGGGCGCCCGCTCGTGATCCAGACTGCAACGTGCGCTTTGTATTGTTCTTGGATGGGGAAGGGGGGGCTTATGGTGCCTGGTTGGCGTCTGGTCGAGTTGGGGAGGCAGCGTTCATTATTCGGGGGCAGTGGTAACCTTCGAAGGGGAATGCTGGGATCTGGAGGAGCTGGCTCGCTGAGTACCCGACGCCACGAGTGCTGGTGGGGTTGGCGTGGTGCTCTCGTGCGTATTGCTGCTTTCGCCGCAGGAGCTGTACCATGGTCTTCCGGCACCGTCCTGGCTCAAGCCTCACCTGGTTCAGGAGCTCCAGCTCGGCTCACGCGGGCGGCCTTGCTGATCCCCTCCCTACTCGGTGCTGCTAGAAGCGGCCCTGACCCAGGGCGACCCCAGCTTGTCCTGGGAGGCCCAGCTGGCCTTCAGGGCACCCCTCACGAGGCGGCCCCGGGGGGTCCAAAATGGCACAACGCTGGGGGCACCATGGATCAGGACCAGCTCCGAAAGCTTCCGACCCTGCTGTTCCCCAAGGCGAAGCCCCCTGCAGCGGCCATGGCGACGCCTGCCAAGCTCTTGCGCATGACCGCGATCGCGGCTGCGGCCAAGGCGGCAGCCGCGGCGAGCCCCACCCCTGCAGAGGACGCTGGCGTGGTCGGCCAGTTCGAGGAGTACACGAGGGCCCACGGCAAGCAGTACCGCGGGGACGAATGGGTCGAGCGCCTTGCGAACTTCCGCGAGAGCCTGCGGGCGATCGAGCTCCACGCCACCAGGAGCCGCTCCCACACGCTCCACCTCAATGAGCTCGCCGACTTGAGCGGTGCCGACTTCGCGCGGCTCCACCTCGGCCTGCGAGCTGGCCCCAGTGGGGGCCCCGCGCTGCGCGAGGCGGACAGCCTGGGGGTCCACCGGGCGGGTGCGGCGGCGGGCCTGCTGGGCACCTACGTGCTGCCGCCCTCGATGGACTGGCGGGAGCGCGGCGTGGTCAACCCTCCCAGGCAGCAGAGCGGCTGTGGAGCGTGCTGGACGTTCGCCTCCTCCAGCGCGCTCGCGAGCGCGTGGGGGATCGCCTCGGAGCAGATGGTCAACCTCAGCCAGCAGCAGCTGCTGGACTGCGCCGGGGCGGAGTACGGCAACGATGGCTGCCTCGGTGGCGCGTTCGACGGCACCTACACGTACGCCCAGGCTGCGCCGCTCTGCACGTCCGAGAGCTATCCGTACGTCGCCGTCGAGCGCACTTGCCGCCAGGACTGCGTGGTTGGCGTCCCCCGTGGAGCTGTGCTTGGGTACAGGCACGTCGAGATCGGCTCTGAGGCTGCGCTGATGGATGCAGTGACCAGGCAGCCCGTGACGGTCGGGATCATGGTCGCGGAGCAGGGCCCGGGGCTCAAGCTGTACCAGGGTGGCATCTTCTCAGGGGACTGCACGTCGCAGCCCAACCACGCGGTCGTGGTGGTGGGCTACGGCACGGACAACCAGCAGGACTTCGAAGAACAAGCGGCGGCATAAACATACTTATCGCGGGTCCGCGCGGATTTCTTGGATCGGCGCTGGCCCCCCTGGCGGCGCCTCCAGCGCCGCCCTCTGGCGCGCTCCGCGCGCCAGGGAGGAGAGTCCAGCGCCGATCCCAGCAATCCGCGCGAACCTCCGAAAATTTATGCTTCTGCCGCGTGCCGGTTCTCCAGGGCTATTGGCTTATTCAGAACTCTTGGGGCCCCAGCTGGGGCGAGGGCGGCTACTTCCGCCTCGCGCGCGGCAGCGGACCGGACGGCATGGGCGAGTGCGGTATCTTGAGCATGCCCACCTACCCCGTCGTTGATTTGGTGGCGGAGGCGTCGACGGTCGCGACCACCACGCTCGGCGAGGGGCCCCACTCCACGGAGGAGCCGGAGGCGTCGACGGTCGCGACCACCACGCTCGGCGAGGGGCCCCACTCCACGGAGGAGCCGGAGGCGTCGACGGTCGCGACCACTGCGGTCGGTGAGGGGTCCCACTCCACGGAGGAGCCCGAGTCTGCTGCAGGTCCCGCCGACTTCCTGGTCTGACCCGGCGGGTGCCAGGCGGAGGGCGGAGCGCCGCGCAACCGCGCGCGCCACGTCGCGGCCGGGCGAGGTACAGTTGCACGCAGCGCGATCGCGAGTGGCAGGGTGAATTCGGCAGCCCAACAGTGGCTGCTGTACAGTAGGCCTCCTCCCGCGCAGCCTTCCTGCCTGACCCCCCGACCTCCCACGTCGTGTTTTTTTTCACTGCGTGGCCCCCCAGACACGTCGACCGCGTCCCTGGGACCCGCTGCCGGCCCCGTGCTGTGCTCTTCACGGTCCCGGGTCTCGAAGATGGCTCCTGGACGCCAAGTTCCAGGACGCCGCCCGTCGTGGTTTCGTCGCGACCCCTGGGGGTCGGGTCGTCATCCTCTACTCTCCGTGTCTTGGCCCCGTGTTGGCTTCCTCTTGGTTGCGTCGCTGTGTGGTTCGCGAGACTGAGCGCCCCCTGCAGGCGGCACAGAGCCTCAGACTGCTTGCGCTTCGTTTTCGGGGAAAATGATCGACAGAGTTGTCAAAGGAAGCAGTGGGCATCCGCCGTCAGGGCAGAAAGGGGTGGGGTCAGGGGCAAACAGCCATTCTATGGTGCGGGCTGACATTCATTTGATAGCGCTCTTGTACTTTCAACATGACTTCACCTGTCTGGCTCTCGGGCCCGTTCTTTGCACGAGTCCGAGCCGATGTCCATAGTATCCAACAGTTTGCGAGTACTGTTTCCCAGCTGCGTTCGCTAAGTTCGGCCACCGTTCCGCCCATTGGCGACGCTTCGAACGCCGCCGAGAAGGCCGTAACGTGTGACACATCTCGTCTCTATATATGTATATATATATATATTGGGGCTGTCTTGGGTGCCTCCTTGGGCCATCTTGGAGCTCCCTTTGGCTGTCCGGTGCTCCTCTTGGGGCGATTAGGGCCCTCTTGGAGCCGTCCTGGGCCGTGTGGGCAACCTTTTGGGGTCCTCTCTTGGCTCTTTTGGCCTCTCCGTGGCTCTTCCGGCACCCTTTGCGACTCATCTC